CCATCCTCCCCACCCCACCCGCTCCAGACTATCTCCATGGCTTCAGGAAATGCTTCTGTTCCATTCCAGTTGATGTAAAGTTTTCTTTTTATCATTATTTTTTCCTTCTTTCTTTCTTTTCTTTTTTCTTTTTGGTTCTTCTTTTAAATAAACTTTGTGTTTCAAATCTGACGGAGCACCATCTGCTTGTGTAGAAATTGTTCCCTGAAGGACGTGCTGCTGCTTTGGGGGTGTTTGGAGTAAGGGGGGGGGGGGGATGGCTTGTATTTTGCAGTGGCTTAGAAATCAGTTTTCTGAATTGCCTCTTCCCAACTGAAAAAGATTCCATTTCCACCCCACACGACTGCAGCAGATTCCTCGAAAGGGCCATTCCTGGTTTTTCCCTTGGATTTGCCACCTCCCAGATCAGGAAAAACCTTCATTTTTCAGCCAGCATATCCTCCTTTGGCAGCGAGGGGAGTTAGTGTGTAGCCCCACTGAAGAGGGTCACTTGAAGGGTTTTAATTTCTCTAAATTGCAGGCTAGAGGATGGAAAATCTGGCAGTCCTCCGGGAAGATTGGGAGCCGGGAGAGAGAGAGAGAGAGAGAGAGAGACTATTGATAGATCTGGTGAAGCTTTTGAGATTCCATCGAAAGAAAGTTCAAAATGAATGGGTAGATTTGTAGATTTCTGCATTGGGAAGACTCCAAAGTTAGGTCTAGTTTTACTAGCCCTCTTAAGTTTCCAGAGAATGTTATCCAAATAAACAGTGCCATGAAAGAATGACAATCTGGTATGTCAGGTTTATTTGGATAACATTTGTCATGTATATACACACACACACACACACACACTGTAGAACCAATAGAAGAGAACATTTCTAGCTCGGGGTTGAACTGTGGGGTCCTGGGTGCGCTCAGCTTGGTGGTTTTCTTGCCGACGTTTCATGACCCAGCTAGGTAACATGATCAGTGTGCTAGGATGGGGTGGGGCATACATTCTCTTCTGTTGGTGCCCCACACAAGTGTCAGAGGCTTCGAAAAGCACACAATTGGGAGACGTGCATTTAGGCACACCGCCAAGGAACGGCTCCTATAAAATGAGAGCAATTCCCCCCCCTTCCTTCTAGTCCTGATGATGTTACCTAGTTGGGTCATGAAACGTCTGCAAAACAAAAAGAAACCGCCAACCTCAGAGAACGCCAAGTACCCCACAGTCTTCCTCCCTCTCTGCAAACCTCCCTCCCTCCCTCCCTTGTACCCTGATGATGTTCCCTAGATGGGTCACGAAACGCCGGGGGGGGGGGGGGGGGGGAGAAATCCCAGCCAAGCTCAGAGAACCATAGAGCCAAATATTTCCAAACTTGGCCAATGCTTTTCGGTCTTTGGAACTAAACCTTTTTTTCTGCAGAGAAAAATTCCCCGAAAGGAATCCGAGAAAGAACCATTTGGCTTCAGAGGCGATTTTTTTTTATTATTTTCAAATAAAAAAATACACAGGGTTTGGTTGCATTTGGGCCAGGCCACCACAACCCCCCCCCCCCCCCCCCCCCCCCCCCCCGGCCGCCCCCCCCCGGCCTCTTGTGCTACTGAGAAGAAGGATGTTAAAAAGGACGCCCTCCACTCGCTCGTCTCCGCCTTGGCGCAGAGCGGAGGGCCTTATGGCAGTTCAGACAGACACGCGTATGTACAGATGCACGCGTGGGCGCACGGGTGTCCCTTGCCCAACGGAAGGAGGAGCGCCGTAGCTCCCCGCGGGAAGCAGCTGCCAAAGTGAAAAACGAACGGAAGGGAGGGAAGCAGCTGGCCAAACGGTTGAGAAGGACCACGGGGAACCCCACAGCCAGTCCTCGACTTACGATCACGTTCGAGCCCAATTTTGGTCGCTGAGCGAGACACTGGCGGCTTTTGCTCCCCCCCCCGTTTTTATGACCTTCCTTGCCACCGTCGTTAAGTGAATCCCCGCAGTGGATAAGTGAGTGGCCTGGTTGTTAAGTGAATCTGGCTTCCCCCGTGGACCTTGGCTGGTCGCAAAAGGGGAGAATCGCGTGACCTTGGGAACACAGCAACGGTCGCAATGAGCCAGTTGCCAAAGCGTCTGAATTTTGATCACAGGGATGCCGCAACCGTCGTTAAGCATGAAAAAAGCTCCCCAGTTACTTTTTTTCAAATGGTCACTATATGAACCGTGGTAAGTCGAGGACTGCCTGTATTTTAAACAGGGTTTAAATGGGGCGAAATTAGCAGACCGTCGCTTCCCAAGGGGAAAAGAGATTTTTTGTTTCTTTAAAAAAAATTTTGTTATATATATATAATATAAGGGATCATAAAATGCCTTGTTAAGTTGCCTGCATTTCCTCCCAACCTCTTGAGCAAGACACCGTATCTGGTTCACACGATGCTGGTTAAAGAGGGCTTAAGGGGGAGCTGGGCTCAAGAATTCCTCCCTAAATCACCCCGTCTCCCCAGATATTGAAGCGTTTTTAATTCTTTTTTGTGCGTGCAGGGAGAAAAATGGAATGGCGGCCTTCCACTCCCTGCCCAATATTGGGATTTAAAGCACCTACTCGCTTCCTCCTCCTTCACAGACCAGCACAAATCGATGAGGCACTTTTCCCATTTCCACCTTTGATAAGGGAGATAACCCTGGACAACCACAAAGACTGAGTTCAATCTTCAATCGTGGGAGTCCGTGGCCACCAAAGTTATTTAAAGGGAGTCCGTGGGGGAGAAAAGATTTAAGAACCACCGGCCTAAAAAAGCAAGGTTTCTCGCCCTTGCTAGCTTTGAGTAGGCTTCAACTCCAAATACGAACTTAAGCGAACTCCAAATACTTCAAGTATTAATAATAATCCCATTTAATGTTGATTAAACTGGCGTCCTATGGAAAAAAAAAAAAAAAACACTGAACCCATTCTTATTTTTTCCCCTTGCTGGGCATTGCTTACACTTTCTCCATTTTTTACCTTGTTCCCCAAATCACAATAAGTTGCTAATTGCACTTCCCTTTAAAGTGTGTGTGTGTGTCTCTCTCCTCCTTCCTCCCTTTTCTCGGGCCCTTGTCTTAATGTTCTTTTTGTGCAATTATATATTTCTGGTTGAGGATTTGACTAGTTCATTATTAAGAATGCTGCCTCCCATTCTAAATAATAAACTAATGAAATCCTCAACCAGAAATTCAGCAACTTAACAGTCCTGACTTCCCTGAAAAGCCCCCTTTTCTTTTTTCTACATAAAATACACAGTCCTCAAAATGTTTTAGGCAACGTACAGTATATTAAGTATCCAAAAATCTGTGCAATAAATTTATCTTTGGGACACCAAGACATAACATTTACAGAGAATAAAAATTCAAACAGGACTGGGTTTTTTTTTTCTTTCTTTCTTTTTTGCCCCAGTGGCTTAAGCAATAGGGAATTAAAAAAATAATGACAATTAACACTGCTGTAGGAAGATTGGCGAAGAGCTTAAAAAAGCCCCTCTTGTATTTAATACAACTTTCAATGCTGATAATAATCCACCTCTTTAAGAATTCAATCTCTTTGAGGAGGACCTGAGTAGAATTCAGTGGGGTTCTATATTTTTAAAAAATGTGTTTCTTCCTATTAAATAAGGGTTTAAATAAAAATCTAATCTCTGTAAGCAAGCCAGTGGACAGAATTCTACTTTATGATGTGATGTTCTTTTTTCCTCTTGTATATTTCAACGTCCTTTGTTTTTTTAAAAAAATCTACTGAACTGGGACAAAAGGTGAGTTTCCGTCCTCTTTCGCACAAAAAAATAAAAATAAATTCTATCTCTGAAAGACGTTGCCCTGCACAATCATTCACTCCCATGCTTGCCTTCAATATATATATTTAAACAGACAGACAGAAATTGCTTCCTTAAAAATATACTCTCTCCCTTTCACCCCTACCCCCAAACTGCCTGAGCTTATCGGATTCACCCTCCCCCCACCCCCCGAAAAATAGATCTGACTGGGTCCTAAGATATCTCCCCCAGCCCATCCTGTCCCCTAAACTCAAGAGGTGTAGAATCTCTCAAGATTCAATTCTATAATTCTCTGATTTAAAGGAGTGTGTGGGCCATTGAAGAGCCTCTCACTCTTCCCCCAGAAAAATATATATACACATTTTCTGACACATTTCCTATTTGGCTTCTTCCTCCGGACACAAAAACAGATCGGTGCATCTTATTCTGGGGTTGGGGTGGTTTTGTTTTTTTTTGGTTTCTCTTACGTATATATACATATATACATACACACAGGTAGTCCTCGACTTAACGATCAACAGCTAGGGCCGGAATTTCCACCGCGAAGCAAGTCTTTTTTTTTGACGTGGTTCTTCAGCAATTCGTTGCAGCTGTTATAAAATGAACCACGTCATTAAGCGAATCTGGCTTTCACCCCTTGGTCAGAAGCCGGCTGGGATGGACATGTTGCATTCCCATGTCTCTGCACCCATCGTAAATAGACACCCATTGCCAAGCACCCACATTTTGAACCCATGATCGTAGAGGTTGCTAAAAAAAACAGTCATAAGCATGAGGACTAAGTCGTACGCCGCTTTTTTCAGTGGCGCTGTAACTCCCGTCACTAAAAGAACAGTTGCTAAGTCCAGGACTGGAGTCACCCAAGCGAGAAGCCGTAGCCCCAGATGTAAGCCTTGTACCAACCCATCATGTAACCTGGTTGGTTTTGCAAACCCATCATGTAACCTGGTTGGTGACGCGCAAACTAACCCCTAATCATAGTTGGAATGGCTTAGCGCAGGGGCCCTCAAGCTTGGCGACTTTAAGGACTTGTGGACTTCAACTCCCAGAATTCCCCAGCCAGCCAGGCTGGCTGGGGAATTCTGGGAGTTGAAGTCCACAAGTCCTTAAAGTCGCCAAGTTTGGAGATCCCTGGCTTAGTGTGACGTCTGAGCCCAAACGTATCTTGGCACTAAGCCTTGCCGTTAAAAAGTTCTGCATCAGACAGAGGAGTGTACAGGGATCAAAAAGAAAAAAAGAAAGAAGTAGAGTTAGTCCTCAACTTCCGGCCGCAATTAAACCCCACATTTTCTGTCGCTAAGCGAGATGTTTCCATTTCACGACGTTTCTCGCCACCGCTGTCGAGGTAATCCCTGCAGTGGTTAAGTTACAACCCTGGTTGTCAAGCGAATCCGGCTTTCCCCCCCATGGACTGATCAGAAGGTCGCCAAACACTGCCACCGTCGTAAGTGTGAGTCAGCTGCCAAGCGTCTTGAAGCGTCGCCGTGTGACCAAGGGGATGCCGCAACCATCACAAGTGTGAAAAACGGGCGCAAGTTGTTACTTCGGTCACTGAATGAGCTGTTGTAAGTCGAGGACTACCTGTGTAGCAGGAGGAAATATTCTCCTTTTCTTCTCCCGAATGCGGTTTGGGCCTTAGAAGGAGCAAATCCCTTCCTATTAACAGCTTATACAAAAAAATAATAATAATTAAATGCTACCCATCCTTAATCAAATCCCTCTCTTAAAATAATCTCAGGTTTGGATTGCAAAACCGCAGCTGTCCACCAGGGGGCAATGGCTGAGAGGACTGCTTGCCCTCTGCTGGCAGCTTGGAAAATTGCAGCCTTTCTCCGCACAAGGGCCTTAATTCATTCCCTCTCCGGCCAATCAAAGGGACCAGCCAGCTCACTCCCACCTTGCATGCAGAAATGCAGTAGATCGGTTAGGAAATAAAATGACGACACCGCCCCCCCCCCCCCACCATAAAAAAAAAAAACCCCCCCTTGAAGTAGCAACATTTCCCTGGCTGCGTCCTTGTGGAATCAAGATGTAGGTTTGGGCTTGGAAATTAGGGCGGGGGAGGGTGGAGGGTTCCCCTTTCCAGCCATCCAAACGGGGTGGCCCAAACCTTCCCAAATCTCTGCCTATATAACAACCCCTGGATTTCTCTGTCGGAAAGCCGCCCCCCAAAAAACAAAAACAAACCACAACCCCATTTTGAATGAAGCTATCACATCATGGCGGGCTGGAAATGAGGGGGGAGCAGAAGCCGGGCTCCCCGACGCTTCCCGAGACAGCAACATAGACAATAAATACCCCCTTTGCCCCCTCCAGCGTTTTCAGTGCTCGGCTCCCTTCTTCCCCCCCCCACCCCCCGCTGCTACGAGGGGGGGTCGTGGCGAATGGTGGGGATCTTGGCTTTGGGGGGACGGGAGGAGGAGCCCGAAGAAGAGGAGGAGGAGGAGGAGGAGGAACTGCTGCTTCGGCGACCTTCAGCACCGGTGCTGGACATCTTGAGCTTACGCCGTTTGGCCAGAGGGGCGTTTTCCACGCTTTTCAGGAAAAAACCTTCGCGCTTCCCCTTGTTGAAGGCCTAGATGAGAGAGAGGGAGGGAGGAGAGAAGAGAGAAAGGAGAGAAAGAGAGAAAGAAGAGAGAGGAGAAAGAGGAGAGAGAGGAGAAAGGAGAAAAGAGGAGAGAAGAGAGAAAGGAGAGAGAGAAGAGAAAGAGGAGAGAGAGAAGAAAGAGGAGAGGAGAGAAAGGAGAGAAGAGAGGAGAGAAGAGAGGAGAGAAGAAAGAGGAGAGGAGAGAGAGAAAGAAGAGAGGAGAAAAGAGAAGAGAAAGGAGAGAGAAAAGAGGAGAGAAGAGAAAGAGGAGAGAAAGGAGAGGAGAGAGAAGAGGAGAAAAGAGAGAGAAAGGAGAGAGAGAGAGAGGGAGGAGAGAAGAGAGAGAAAGGAAAGAGAGAAAGAAGAGAGGAGAAAAGAGAAGAGAGAAAGGAGAGAGAAGAGAGAAAGAGGAGAGAAGAGAGAGGAGAGAAAGAAGAGAGGAGAGGAGAAAAGAGAGAGAGAGGAGAGACAGGAGAGAGAGAAGAGAGAGAGAAAGAGAGAGAGAGAATGTGATGTTAAGTTAAGTTTATCTTTTTTAAATCCAAAGAAGGATTCGCTTCTATTTCCTAATGGGGTTTTCCCAACTTTTTGAGAACCGTGATTTGCACAGCCAACTGTCGAGGTCTCTTCTGGTTTCAAAATTGACCCCAAAACAAACAGGTAGTTCTTGACTTAACAATTTATTTAGTGACTGTTCGAAGTGCCAGCAGCACTGGAAAAAAAATGACTTGTGACCATTTTTGACATGACCTCTGCAGCATCCCCATGATCAAAAGTCAAAACACTTGGCAGTTGACTCATATTTATGATGGTTGCAGTTTCCTGGAAATTCACTTTAATAACCATGTTATTGACTTAGCAGCTGCAGTGATTCCCTGAACAACTGTGGCCAGAAAGATCATAAAATTGGGAAGAAACTAACTTAACAACTGTCTTTGCAACAGAAATGTTAGTCAGAAGTCGAGGATTACCCTGTACTTTTGGGTCACAACTAGAAGGTCCTTCCAACTCGTTAAAAAAAGGATTACACATCCAGTCCAGAGCTACCAAAAATGGAACCCATTAAATCAAATGCTTTACAATGAATTCAATTAATCAATTAAATACCATTAATTAATCAAGGAGAGAAGCAATTTAGAACTAAGGTGAAATTTCCTGAGAGTCAGAACAATGAATCAGTGGAACAACTTGCCTCCGGAAGCTGCAAATGCTCCAACACTGGAAGTTTTTAAGAAGAGATCGGATAGGCATTTGTCGGAAGTGGCGTAGTGTTTCCTGGTTGAGCAGGGGGTTGCACTAGAAGACCTCCAAGGTCCCCCTTCCAACTCTTGTTATTCTGTTCTAATTAACATGAACAGGGACTAAGCCTGTTTTTAAGACACAGCCGATCATTTTTTGCATTTTTTTGCCTCCTCCAAAGAGTGAGAAACACGAGTGGGATTCAAAAATTCCCAACAACTGGTTCTCTACTCTACCAAGTTGCTGGGTCGGCGTGGCCATGGTAGGTATGGCCTACAAGAACTTCCGGGACGGCCATTTTTCACCTTTCCAGAGTCCCGAGGCTTCCCTCGGGACTCTGGGAAGGGGGAAAATGGCCTCCCCTGAGCTCTGGAAGTCAATTTCCAGATTTCTGGAACTTCCAGGAAGGCCATTTTTCGCCCTCCCAGAGCCTCCGCCCGGACACTCCGCCCAGGCTGCGTGGGGACTCCTGGGAGGAGGCAGGACCAGCCAATCGGTTCAACTACCGTTTTGCCGAACCAGATGTCAATTTAATATCCGGTTCTCCTGAACCGGCCCGAACCAGCTAAATCCCACCCCGGTGAGAAATCCCACTCATTTCCAATCCCGAGATTGCTTTGAGGGGGGCCTGGATAATTTTTTAGATGGCACTCAGGGGCCTTCTTCCCTTCTCTCAGGGCCCCTCTCCCATATAACCACACTTCATCCCATCCGTCCCCTCGGAAAAAATCCCCCACCCCCCGCCAGCCTCAAAACGGGCATGCTCACCATAAACGTCACATTGACGCCAGTCCTCACGGCGGGCCCGGAGCTCTCCAGGATGTCCGGCGTCATGAGCGGCGTGGACGAGAGGGCGCTGCCATCTTGGAGCCACTCGCTGTAGCGTAGGTTGGACATTTTCAACCGCTTGGCCGGATCCACCGTCAGAAGACCTGGACGACAATGGGCAGATGAGATTTAAACCACCAAACACACACACACACAAAAACACACCACCCTCTCAGCAAACAAAATGGTGCCTTTTTTGTTTTTTCTTTCAATTTTACTACTCCTAGTACTTCGACTTACAAAACATTCATTCAAATGTTTCGGCGGCCCTGAAAAAGATGAGCAATGGTCGTTTTTCACACTTACGACCTTCCCCTCCTCTGGTCAGGTGTTCCAAATTCAGATGCTTGGCTCACACTTATGACCGCTGTCATGTCCCAAGGACACAGGATTTCCCCCCTTTTGTGACTTTCTGCCAAGCCGGGTCAGTTGGGGAAACCGGATTCGCTTATCCGTGTTTTTTCCCCAGGGCCGTCGTAACGTCAAATGGCCACTACATGGAACGTCCGTAAGCTGAGGATTTCTCTATAGTAAAACTGAAACCCCTTTGCGGCTTGTGCCCCAAAAAAGAAAGTTCTTCTGCTTCTTCAAAACAGAAGTTGCTCAGCTGGCGAAACCTCCATTTCCTTCCTGCCGTGTAAATGGAGGGGTTTTTCCACAAACCCAAAAAGCTTTTGGTTTTGCACAACATGCCTGAACCCGGTTAACCTGCTTTCTACACCTCAAACACACGTTTAATCGTAAGCTCGCCCAAACAGGGCTGGGTTTGCACAGCACAAGCTAAAGCCATGGTGGCACAGTGGTTAGAGTACAGTGCTGCAGGCCCTTCCTTCCTTCCTTCCTTCCTTCCTTCCTTCCTTCCTTCCTTCCTTCCTTCCTTCTCTTCTCTTCTCTTCTCTTCTCTTCTCTCTTCTCTTCTCTTCTCTTCTCTTCTCTTCTCTTCTCTTCTCTTCTCTTCTCTTCTCT